CGTTTTGATTGTATCTACTGTTATTGTAAAGTAACTCATATCCATCAATATGATGCAAGCTAGTGTCTGGTATCTGCCAGGTTTCAGTTAAAACTATCAGGTCGATATCAGAATTGAGATTTGATGAGAAAATCCTGAATTCATCATCTAAATTCTTGTTGATAATTCTTGATGTCATATTTTCAAGTATAAATACTACACCTTCGTGAATGAAAAGACACGCTGAAGTCAGTATTTTCTTCTCTATGAAGAGTGATTTATACAGCTGTCGATTCTAGCAATATCGAAAATGTTTCTCAGACAGCGTTTTTTTGATACAAATGTTTTACTCACAGTAGTTGCCATTCCCCAAAACATTATAACAGTTCTGATGCGATTTTGAACATAAGCGTTGTATGCCAGCATCGCTGCTCCAATACATATATTTCCAGATATTTCTCAGTGCATAGCCGTATCTTGATAAATTTATGGCAAGATTATCAATTTGATTCTTTCAGTCAAGCTCAGAATCTATTATAATACCACCGAACATCAACTATAATACCTAGAAAGGACATTTTTGAGACAGTGTCTAAAGTAAGTACGCCACCATCAGTGTAATTGAGTTTTTTATGGCAGCTATTTCTAGATAAACTCATTATTTGAGTTTTATCGCTATTCAATTTGAGATTATTTTCACTGAAGTAGTTTTTTAATATATGAAGTGCCGAGGAGAGATTGTTCTGTAGTGAGTGCATATTGGACGATTGTTTCTGTGGTAACTTCCGTATGGTCATTAGTGTCAAGAATATATACTGAAGGCCCTAGAACTGAACCCTGCGACACACCTCTAACAATAGTCATTTTGTCGGATTTTAGGAGTTAGCATCAACATCAACAACAGATTGCTGTCTATTCTCTAAATAGGATGAAGCTGGCAACTTTGTTACTAAAGTTTTATGGTCCACGCTATCAAATGCTTTTGACTGGTCCAAATTCACAGCTGTTGTGACTTATTTGTTGTTCAGAGAACTGATTATTTTGCATATTGCCTGGTAATTTGCCAGAATGGTCGATTTATTCTTCATGAATTCATTCTGGTTATCACTGAGCAATTTATTATATTCCAAGAATGTACTGAGTCTGTTATAAATTATTTTTTCGAAAATTCGATAAGAGAGCAATTGGCCTATATAGTTGTTATTACTAAGAATAAACTGAGTCTGTTATAAATTAATTTTTTGAAAATTCGATAAGAGAGCAATTGGCCTATAGTTGTTTTTACTAACTCCATTAGCTATTTTTCCTCGAAACTAACCACACACACCGGGTTAACAATAAGTTAACCAGTCATTTTTCCTCGAAATGTATCCCAAACTATGACGTTATAGTTGACCAACCACACAACCCAGCTCACTGAGGTAGTTCACGGAGTTGAGGCTTTTGATTGGGCACTTGTTGTTATAATCTGAGGTTATAAAAATGATAGGAAAAAATAATGATTTTTCTCAATGAGATAATCATGGATTCATACGAAGTATTTTTCAATTAGAGATCCCATCATATCATTGATAAAAATAAATACTTGATTCATTGTAAATATATATATCAGTAGCGAATTCTTCCAATTTTCTTGAATCTGAAGTAGGTAAGTTCCATGTTCCTATCAATGATATATTTTTGTTACAAATGATGAATTTCGTATTCAGAATATCAGTATCACTACTTATACCAAACAATAAACAAAAACAGCTGATACAAATTGGCATCTGTCAAGCTTCACAAGGAAACCGTGACGTCATTATTGAGTTGGGTGTCATAAAGTCAACCTGGTTTGCCTGGTTGGATTCGAGAAAAAGTTACTTTCATACAATATAAAAGACAAGAAGATGAATGCTTTGATTGAATAATGGGATAACTCGAATTCGATACAAGTTCTCAGTGTGTGTCATGTGAAATATCGATTTCTCCATTCATTCTTGATCCTGAAAATAATAAAATTAGCTTCTAAAATCTGTAAATCGTATTGATATCGGTTTATTATTCTAAAAGTTATAATATACAACGAATTTCAGCAAAGATTCCAAATATCTCACTTCGAAAATTAATAATTGTGTTCCTGACACTTCGCCGAATGGACCAGTTGCCAAATTTTCGTTCAAAACACCGAAACAAATCGGTGAATAAACAGTTTGCCACAAGTGGTCATTATGCCGAAAAACGCCATTGGACGAATTGTCAGAAGTGGTCATGACGCCGAAACAGCTTTTAGGACATTTTTCCTGAAGTGATGAAAACGTCGAAACAGCTTTGTGGACCTACTATACGAAAGTGATGGAAATGCCTAAATAATTCTTTGAATTATTTCAGATCATTTGGGATTTTTTCTCCTCGTCTCTATGAAATAAAAATATCAATATTATTCCAATATATGTGTATATAGTAAGGACAAATCAGATGATTTGTCCCAAAATGACACTGCGTTTAAAAAAGACTGTTCCTATCAGAGAGCCTTAAAGAAAAATTGTCAGTGTCAGTGAAGAAAGGTTTGGAGAAGAGAAATAAAGGTATGAAAGCTCTGTATAAAGCAAAAATATTAAATTTCCACTTATCTTTGGACGTTTCGAGAACAAATCTGCTTCCCGTACTTACCTGACTTCTGTATAACCCAGTGATCAACTGGGCCATGTCCAGGATTCTATACCTTTTCAACTCCAATTTCGGAATCGGTAAGTTATATTTCGGAAAAAGTAATCTCGATTTCAGAATTGGTTAGTTCGATTTCAGAAATGATAAAATCAATTTCAGAATCGGTGAGATGAATTTCAGAAAAAGTCCATTCAATTTCAGAAATGGTAAGTTGTATTTCAGAATTGGTCGGTTCAATATCATAAAAAAAATCCTTGTATTTGTTCGAAATGTTCCCAATTGCATGTGAGATTAACAAACCATATTTAAAATATTCAACTTCTCAAAAACAATTTAATCCACAGATGCCTTTTTTCCATCTGAATTGCACACACATTCGAGGTGTTATCATGTTCATTGACATCGCAGTCTGAATTCTATCTGGCTGAGCAATCTGTTCGGATCTCCAGCTATGACCCTTTGGCGATGCTCTTGCAAGAAGCTCTTCACTTCTGACTTGAAGGCACCCCATATATTATGTTCAATCTGATTCAACATAGGGCTCTCAAACACCGTTCCATCCACTGTAAACAATCTTCTCTTTTGCAATTAAAAACATTTCAAACATATAGAAGGATTTAATCTTCTGAAATTGAACCTACCAATGATAATTCTGAAATACAACTTACTATTTCTGAAATTGAATGGACTTTTTCTGAAATTCATCTCACCGATTCTGAAATTGAGTTTACCATTTCTGAAATCGAACTAACCAATTCTGAAATTGAGATTACTTTTTCCGAAATATAACTCACCGATTCCGAAATTGAAGTTGAAAAGGTATAGTAAGTGAAAGGTAGTGTTTTGAAGTTTCCTGAGTGATTTTGAAATAATATTCTGACTTTGCTTTCCTTCTAGGTATGATATATAACTCACTCATTATTTTTATATAGGTAATTAATTCGTGAAATATGAAAACATTCCGTATCTACGAATTCCTTCTACTTTTTGGTTGGTTACCCAGTTGTATCTGTATCTCATTATTGCTTTATTGGCACTTGGGCGTTTCTCTATCCCAGCAGAGCAAACCTGGAATCTGAGTTGGTATCATGAGCAATTTATATGTATATTCATTTGAATTCGTTCCAGTCCAAAATTTGTTCAGTTCTTATTTTACTGATCACGATTCACCTGTTCACGCCATAATAGACAACAAAGAGCAGTAACAAAAACAAGATGCAAATGTCATTGCCGAAATGGAAATAGTTGTGAGACTTTTGACTGTTGACAAGGTCACTCTTCCATAGAAAAATAATATCATCGACTTGTATCCTGTATATTCCATGTAGACTACGTTATGAGGTGGTGAAACAAAAACATTGCAGAAATAACATATCAACTCTGTCTGAGATATATCTGAAGAACCTAAAATTAGCATAATACAATATTATTTAATAATATGGATTTCAATATTGATGCAGCATCTCATAAACGTTTCACTCCATGATATTATATGATGGATACTTCAGAAGTACATTATCGCAATGTTATTCCAACAATATCACAAAAATTATATCTGAAAAATTTTTTTTTTTCTGTGACGGGAAAACAGTTATGCATTTCATCTCTGTATAGGCAGGTTATAGAATGTCACTTTTCATAAATTACTTTTTTCCACACTGTTGATGGCTTTTGTTGTGCTACAGTTCCAAAAAATGAGTCAATAATACCGTCTCCGAGAAAGAACTGCAAGTCCTTTTATCTTCCATTCGACTTCACGGTCACGGTTACTAAACAACCACTAAATTCGCAATTTTTTTCAAATCAAATCACAGAATTAGACTGACATGATATCAGATATTTGATAACGTCAAAAGAATGATGAAGATGCCTACAACGCAGGTATCCCTACTGTTAAAAACTTAAAATTTCACGTCGATAATTTTCAGATTTCAAAATAATGTAATATCTCAATATTGATTCGTCTTTTCTTTTGTCACAGAAAAAAATAGTGTATTATACTCGGGAAAAATATAAGATTTTAGCTCACGGTCAACACAACCTGGAGCTGAAATCTACTACTTTTTTCCCTTGTATAATAAATAACTATGTTATGTATCATTTGTTTAGTGGGTACTTTTTCGTAGTGAGATCTAGTAGGTACTATAATATATTTCCGGTCAGGAACATCCCTGCTCACGGTGGTGATAGTATAATTGAGGCATATTCAATTCTGCCAAGGGGAGTTGAGACGGGTGCCAAATTCTAGTGGCATGTTTGAATGCGTCCCGCGGTACAGGTTTTCCTCCGGGCATTCAAGGTCACTGCCACAATAACAGTCTCAACTAACTCTTAACAGTGTGTGAGACGATGTGATTCAGTTACCTTCAGAAATGTTGGTTCCCAAGAGTGTCACTGAAAAGTTTCAAGGTACCTTTCCCCAGGTAATCGCAGCAGTCTCAGGTTAGTTTTGTTCACTTATACCTAGGAGAGCTTTTTTCAACGAGAATTTTTATGCCTGGAAATTCAACTAGGAAAATACCCTCAAAATAATTACGAGTCCGTGAGACGAGTAATTATTGGTTCTACCATTTTTTTATTCAATTTTCAGAAATATAACAAAAATGAAGAATTAAAAATTCACTACACTGTTCTACCATTATATAGCCATATCAAGTTTTCTTTCAAAGACACCAACCGCTTAGTCAAGGTTTGACATGGTGGAGTTCACATGTTGAAAAAAAAAATCGGTTTGTTTAGTGATAAAACAGTATAGGGTATCGTGCCAAATGTTCCAGTCTTCGATATGATTATAAATGAGTATAAGGTTTCTTCGACCCGGAAAAAAATCATTGAGTGTAATTTGGTAAGACAATTCAATAAATAGATGAGTTAATCACATATTGTTGTTGACGGTTTTTTCTGATATTTCAAATCGAAGACTCCAAATCGCGAGATTTCCACAGATTAGAGAATAGATATGTTTCTGACAGCTCCATCATGCTTACAACGCGAGTTTGAGAAAAATTCACATAAACGCCATCGAAGAGTTGTTCACAATGCTGGTTGTCATTTTTTCGAATGGAAGATTCTGTTTTGTCCCTGAAAAGTTAGGGCAAACTCTTTTCGAAGTCATAATGACGAAATCACAGCGTGTTTTTTATACATGAATTGAATTGTCAATTGCATTTTGTTTTGTATTCGATACTATGGATTTTCAGACTATACCGAGAATGTGAATGAAAAAATTACGCGAAATTATCTAATGGTTTCTAAAATTCCATAGTGAGGTTACTCAAGCCATAGTCAGACCGGTCGATTTTTTCACGGTGAATTCATGTATATAGGGTAGGCCAAGTTGAACACTTTTAATGGAAAGGTCCTTTTCTCGAACTAGATAGAAGAGAACTGATTTTGGTGTTTGAGGATCAATTCTCAGGATAAACCCAATGGTGAAACCCGTTTATTTCGTTACATACAATTTTAGAGCAATGCATGGTATATCTAAATAACACCAAAAAAATTAGGGGGCGATTACGTGATAAGAATGAAGGTATGCTCGAAACGGTTGAAATGTTCAACCCCTATGACATTTTTTCTCTCAACTTCTATTTGCATAAGAATATATCTTTCAAAAAAACATGGCTGAAAAGCCCAATTCATTTACAGACTTTTTCATGTCTGAACGGTTTTCCTAAAGCGTGAGCATATGACATTTGTTTTAAACAATGATCACTAGAAAAAGTATCATTGAGGTTGAATATTTCAACTCTGCCTCAGCATACTTCAGGGTACAAAACATTTAAAAATGTGTAGATATATTGACAAATGATATTTACCAAAGTTTCGTGTTTTCAGCTCAATATACAAGGACATTTTTCAGTAGGGTAAAGCTTTTCCGGGGAGATGTTTTTCAGAAAATTGTAAGAATACCAGAGACCAACCCTGATATCTAGCACAAAATGACTCCTTGATTTTTTTTTGTTATCGTATATTATGTAACAAGTGTTGAAAACGTCATTTTGGTAAAGAGTATTTTAAGCACGAGTGCAGCAGAGCGGAGCTAGTGGTTGATAAACAAGTGTCTAGAAGAGATTATAAACGCGTTACATGCTATACTTTTGACACAAACCCATAATAATTCCTCTCTCCGCAAGAATCCATAGTTATTCGAAAATTAGATCAACCTATCTGCTAAACCACAGAATAATTCGAAGGGAATGGGAATTGAGAACATAATACATACAATACTATGCAACTGCATACAACCAACAAGACACGTATGAGTTCTATCGGTTGTAGATGTGCGTCCAGTCCATAGGATACATGCATTTCTGATGAAAATGCTTGTTTACTCACTTTCGTGGACAGGATTTCATCTGACGAAGTAGATAAAACCTCTCCGATTCGCTGAGGTGTCGAAGTTTCCGATTGCAAAATTTTTATTACATGAATATTGTGTACCACGTTTATTGTCAAGGTCAGCACAAAATGAATTGCCCACAAAGATGTGGGTTTAATTTTTACCTAGAGTTCTTGGAAATATGCAAGTTCCTATACCTAAAACATTCTCTTCGAATACACTTTCGTCTATATTTCGCATAAATTTTTAAAGAAGAAATCTGTTACAAACTTAAATGGGCTTATATCACAAAAAATTTTCATTTCATAATTCGATAGAACTCACCCAAACTAGCTCACCACCGCGAACCGTTCCTTGCTGTGAGCTTCCTACGTTTTTTGAAAAATTGTTGAAATCCCCGAATTTTTGGACCTCTGGAAACGACGCGATGATGTGACGTCAAAACCCTAATACTGAAACAAGACTATTCCAGACAGAGATGAATGATACATGATTTCTGACAAAGTGAATTAGCGCGAGATCACAGTTGAAAGAATTAATAATTATATCAGTCTCCGACGGGCATTTGGTATTTTCTTTTAACTATGGCGAGATGAGGTTTCTACGTCATAAGAGGGTCCGTTTCCAGAAGGTACTATTATTTATGTCCAAAAATAAAACATTCCAGTTATTTTTTCGATCGAATTATGTCGTCAATCATTATTTATGTATTAAAGATCATTATAAACATGGTTTGAGTTCGAAGTTCTACCAAGGTGTACACGCCCATTGTTCGAATTATTCAGATTACAACAAAATTCGAAACTGACCGTTGACCGTATGTTGCCATGGTGATGTGTTTAAGAAGTTTTTTGAATAAATCACAGATCGTCAATTCGTGATTTATCGATCATTTACCTAATAATCACGTAAGATATAGGTGTGCTCCCAAGAGAAGTGAGACAAAATGATTCTTCAGAACTGAGAATTTTCCAGGAAAACTATGAATAGGTATTGAATTGGACGTCCTGATATCGAATCCGAAGTGAGTTGCAACCTTTCATGCCTACTATTATCATTTTCCGGAAATGTGGTGGTTTGATGGCTGTTGGCGAGCAGTGTATATCACTACTATCAGTATATCTTCCGCTCCTGCAAATTTCAGCATGCTAACTCGGCAATAGACAGAGATGCTTCTATTAGTTATGAGACACACTGTATAAGCAGTATTCTAGAATAGGATATTCAGCTTCAATATTCTCCTAAAGATGCAAGCATTGTTGACAAACACGTGTGAAGGCGTTGAAAAATAAGTTTGAATAATGGTAAATATAGTAGTGTGGGAAGGCTCCCATTCAACCAGTAACAACATACAATTTCGAAATCGAAACCCAGCAGCTTAATAAATTTGATTGATTGATTGATTGATTGATTGATTGATTGATTGATTGATTGATTGATTGATTGATTGATTGATTGATTGATTGATTGATTGATTGATTGATTGATTGATTGATTGATTGATTGATTGATTGATTGATTGATTGATTGATTGATTGATTGATTGATTGATTGATTGATTGATTGATTGATTGATTGATTGATTGATTGATTGATTGATTGATTGATTGATTGATTGATTGATTGATTGATTGATTGATTGATTGATTGATTGATTGATTGATTGATTGATTGATTGATTGATTGATTGATTGATTGATTGATTGATTGATTGATTGATTGATTGATTGATTGATTGATTGATTGATTGATTGATTGATTGATTGATTGATTGATTGATTGATTGATTGATTGATTGATTGATTGATTGATTGATTGATTGATTGATTGATTGATTGATTGATTGATTGATTGATTGATTGATTGATTGATTGATTGATTGATTGATTGATTGATTGATTGATTGATTGATTGATTGATTGATTGATTGATTGATTGATTGATTGATTGATTGATTGATTGATTGATTGATTGATTGATTGATTGATTGATTGATTGATTGATTGATTGATTGATTGATTGATTGATTGATTGATTGATTGATTGATTGATTGATTGATTGATTGATTGATTGATTGATTGATTGATTGATTGATTGATTGATTGATTGATTGATTGATTGATTGATTGATTGATTGATTGATTGATTTTTGTGAAGATTACGAGACACGTCAACTTCAGGGGTAGCTGAAATCAACCCCGACATGTGATTGTCGAATGCAGCCCCAAGGCTTGTGATCCCTGATTGAAGAGCTGGTTGAAACAGAAATCCATCATACTGATCAAATTTCAGTTAGCAGTACGTTTGCAAAGTATGATATATTATTTTCAAGGTATTTTCATTCAAATTCAGATCTTCAGTGACAACACTTCGTTTCGAACCGTGGAAACGCGGCATAAAAACTAAATTTATTTTTGCGGCTCCATTAAAGCACTGGAATGCAATAGCAGATAGCAGTTGTGACAAAAAAAATTAAAATCAGATGTTTCACACTCATTTTTGGCAATTGTTTTGTTAGAAATATATTGGATTGTTGAATCATATTTTGATATTAGGCAACCCTCAAACGTACGAAAAACTAAAATTTGACCAGCACAAAGAATTCCTCATTTCACCAGCTTCCCAATAAGGGCCACAGGCCATGGTCGCATTTTTAGAACAAAACATGTTGAGGGTAGTTCCAGCTACGCCTGAAGGGATTTAAGTACTCTTGATATTGCTTGCCCAGATATTGCCATTTTCAGAATACTGTTCTGACATAATGGCCTCCGGCACCCAAACATACGCAGATGCTGTTTGATTTGCATCAAGAGAAGAATCAACCACCTGGTGGGTGGAGCCATACTCACTAATACTTTGACCTCATCAGAACACCGTAGAATAGTCGGCAATCTTTCATTTTTCCACAGGAAATATTCCTCAGGAATCTCTGCTATAATTTCTTCACTAGCACATCCTTTCGTAGTCAACCTTGAAATATGTCGAATAACACTTTACCAAAACTCGTTCGTTTATAGATAGACGAAGCTTTGAAATTCTTTGCCAATGGACTTCAGAACCTCCAAAAATTCAAACATCATACGATTATCCTTTGGTGCG